TCATCGTTGTTCTTTCAACCTTTTGAACTATTACAATCAGTCCAATAAACATATTTCCGCTCAATCGAAGGGGCGAGTTTTTCGATCTGTACATTGGAGCGAGTAGGTTTTCTTATGTTTATTTCCTAGTACAGATGTGAACGGACAAGAATTTCCTTTGATAATGATTAAACTTATTTGCTGTAAGAGGCAGCTGAATGTTTACTTTGGACATTTAACATCGTTGATCCTTCAACCTTTTGAAATATTACAATTTGTCTAATACTCATATTTCCTCTCAATCGAAGGGGGCGAGTTTTTCGATCTGTACATTGGAGCGAGTAGGTTTTCCTATATTTATTTCCTAGTACAGATGCGAACGGACAAGAATTTCCTTTGATAATGATTAAACTTATTTGCTGTAAGAGGCAGCTGAATGTTTACTTTGGACATTTAACATCGTTGATCCTTCAACCTCTTGAACCATTACGTCAGTCCACCATGTACAAAATTTACAAGTGATCATTATTTTTCTGATTCCAATTTAATGTGTATACTTCATCTTTTGAATATTTCATTTTTCTGAGTCTACTCAAAATTTAAATTGCATTCCCGATCTTAATCATGTGACAAATACTGTGTATAATATTTTATAATGTTTTTATGCGTATATTTTCTGAATTTCCTTTACATACTTACGTACTTCTATTTTTGAAGTCTATTACTTTTGAAGTTTTTGATAGTATCCTCTTTTTGAATTCATTATAACTTTCTTCGAGAGCACAGACTTACATTGATTTTTGGTTCAAACTTTTGATGTTTGTTTACATATTTTTGAGTGGTTTTGAACTTTGACAGTATTTTGTAGTCTGGATAGTTCATAGATTCGTTGCGATGTATGCCTTTGAGGGTCTTGTACTATCCACAGTTTCTTTAATTGAAAGTGTTTTCTTCATATGCATTTTATTTTCTTCTTGAGACTTGTCATATATGCTTTCCGCCTAGTTGCAAATCTGTGCGTATTGATAAACTCTTGAAACCTCTGGCGTATAAGTAAAACTCACTTTTGATATATTAATTTATGCCTCAGTTCAATTCAATCAGTTCAATTTGATTTGAAGTAATAGTCAATTCCTTCTTGAGATTTTTCATATATGCTTTCAGCCTTTGTGCACATTTGTGCATATTGCTAAGTCTTGAGCTTGGTTGCGACATTGCTTTCATGTTTCGCTATAGATTTTTGAAATATCTGGTGATTTTGCTTTTGCATTATTGCATTTGTTTTGATAGTCTGCTCTCATAATTTTTTTTCTCGACTTCTTATTCCTTTCAATTTCTGTCTTGACTTGAAGTAATCGCCAATTCTTATAGACTCAGTATAGTAATTATCTTTTCATACTTTACACTGGTAAATTATTATAGTCTTTCTAATCTTGTAATATTTCATATTTGAACTTAACTTTCATTTTACAATGATATGGTTATTCTCAGTGTAGACTTTGAAGTGCGCTGATGATATCAGTGATCTACATGAGAATATTCCATAGACTATAGACATTCTTGTCTAGGGCTTTGGAGTGCACCTATGGTGACCCTAGAAAGTTGTCTTTCTCTCATATTTTTGCTTTAAATCAAAATTCGAATTCTTACCTATCATATTTATTTCTATTTCTTGTTCACTAGATTGTTTTTTTTTATAACTCCAATTTTGCACCTACATATATCGTAGACTTTTGCATACAATTTTTGCTTGCGGCATTACTCTCATGTGTCATGATTTATTAAAATATCTTGTAATTTTCGTTTCGCTATTTTGCATTTTACATATGCTCACTTCGTTTCTCAATTATATTATCATGAAACTTTTAATAGTTTGCTTACTTTTGTATTTTTTGAGAATTCTTTATAAAATCATGCTCATATAGCTTTGATATTTCCTTCCAGTTTATGATTTTAATACTATTAGATTTACAGTTGCACTTGTGTTGCACTTAGTTTTTTTTGGAAATTTATTTTGCTCTTTTCTATATTGAACTTCAGAATTTTTTTTTAGTCTGGTTCATGACCCGAAAATTTTGATTGAGCTTACTCTTGAATTTTAGTTCATTGATTGAACTTAAGCTATATTTTGACTTTGAAAATCTTACTTCAATATTTCATGAATGTCTCTTATATACTTTAATTCTCTGAAAACATTTTGAATTATTTTGTAGTCGTACAGACTGCTGGCGCCCAACAATTTTTTTTGTGGAATCAGAACTGCACTTAGTTAACATCTTTTTTGATTAAAATACCTTCGTGATCAAGTTTTCATTGGTTTAGCACTTGTAAATTGTTTTGTTATATGACTTGAATTCCTAATGGAATTTGTTAATTTCTTTTGATTTTCATATTTTGAAAATAGTAATGCACTGTTTTTTTTATATTGGACATTGGTTTAAAATATCACTGTAGATGATATTCTTTTTGGGTTTGGAGTATTGCGAGATAATCTGGCAATTGTTTTAAGAAAGATTATTATTATTTTTTTTAGTACCTCTTATGGTTTAGGTACTTACTTAGTTTTGAAGTTTTTAGTAGTCAGTCGTGCATTTTGGATGCCATTGTGATTCGTGCTTGGACTACTGCTGAAACTTTTGGTTTATTATTTTTCTCGTCTTAGGTATGACGATGTTTTATGTTTTGGGTTGTTCATCATATGATGATAGTTTTTTAAGTGCAACTTCACTGTACTTTTCAGCGAGTTGGTGCTATAACCATCCCTCTTGTTTGGTAGACTTGAGGCTATCCCTTTTTCTTCCAATTCTCTTCTAACATTTTTGTTTCTACCTTACTTTTGCTACTTGTTATCTGGTCGAATGGTTGTACATTTGTCCTTCCGTGATAACTTTCAATTTCCTTGTCAAATAAAAAAAAAATTCTTGAATGCCTCTTCGAATTGTTTTTCTGGTTAAGTAGGGGCGAGTGTAACGGTTTCACCGTCCGATCGTATTTATTAAATCACTTCTCGATTATCATTTCATTAATCCCATCTCTAGCTTTTCTACTTGGAAAATTTTCCGCTTGGAGCGCTTGATGCGGAGTTCCTGATCTGCGATCTTCCTCGCGCTTCCTTTTCACTTGAGCCGCCGATCGAACAACAGCTAAAAATTTTCTTCTCTGTAGCACAAGGTCATATAGCACCATGTGCTAGAATTTTGTAGAATGTGTGTCCGTATAGGACAAAAATGATTGGGGCCACCCCCTTTCTCTTTCTCTTTCCCTTTCTCTTTCTCTTTCCCTTTCCCTTTCTCTTTCCCTTTCCCTTTGCCTTAGTCTTTGACTTTGCCTTGCTTGGCCAATATTTTCACCCATGCATGTGCCTTGGCAGCGCCATCGCCTTTAACTTCGCCTACAACTGGTTATGAAGCCACTATATGTGAGGTCACCCCTCATAACTGGGACCTCCCCTTCAAGCACCTGGCCATCCTGGCTTCAGTTGAGTCAAAATGGACCAGCGAAAGATAAGTTGATAGTTTTATAGCAGCGCCAAAGATGTAAAACTTATTTTGTTCTTTTAAACTGTAAAATTGTAATGTAATGGAAATGCTTTTTTTTTTGTTAAATAAAATCTGTTAAATTTTTGTGTTCTGTTTGTTCTTCTATCCTCTAGCCATGCCATGGTCGACACACAGCTACACGCCTGTAGATGTCTTCATGCCACCGACTGAGCTACCGGAAGCTAATTGTAACCCCCTTTCTGTGATTGTGCAGAAATGTTGGAATCTTCATTGCATTCCATCTTTTCTGGACTTTTTGCGGAAAGGAAGCGTTACAGTGCGCTCGCAGGACAGCATTCTCCAGCTCCTCTACTGCGTTGTCCAGTTCCTCCGCTGATCGGATGGTTGGAATTTGAGTGATGTTCCTTTGGACGTTGGATTTGTACAGGTTCCAGTTCGTCCGTTTGGTGCTCAAGCTATCTCGAGTTCTAGACCCTGTGCCAAGTGTTAGTAGAATCGGATTGTGGTCCGACGATCCTTCCACCAGGGTCTCTATCTCGAACTCCTCTCTGTCCAGTACCGCAGGTCGCCCAAGGCCGAATGGAATGTAGGTTGGTTGCTCCGGACCGACGATGACCCCCGCCAGGGCATCGACGTGTTCCTGGAGCTGCCTTGCATTCCTGCCTTCGACGTTGTTGTTCCATGCCGGAGACTTGCAGTTTAGATCTCCGATGACTATGCGTGCTCCTGGGCCTCTCAGGAGGTCGGCGATGTCATCTTCGTCTAGGGCCTCCCCTGGTGGCACATATAGGGAGGTGATTCTGTAGGGACGGTGGTTGTGATGGACCTGGACCATGATTCCGTCCCCATTGATGTCTGCGGCATCGTCGAGGACATGACTCGTCAAGGTACGTTTGACGAGTAATGCGACTCCTCCACCTCTGCCTCTTCTGTCGTAGCGGTACGTCTCGTACCGCGGGAACGTCAGACTATGGGCAGCATCCAATTTCGTTTCTTGGATGGCCATCTCCTCTGGTTGGTACTGGTCTAGTATCTCCTGGATTTCTGGTTTCCGTGCCCTGAATCCGTTGATGTTCCAGGAGATAATGCGTAGAGATTCTACGTTTTGCCCTGTAGTCATTTCGGGTCTAATGCTTGTCTTGCATCTTGGCCTCGAGTGCATCCAGGCAGGTTATGATGGCTTGCATCATTGCTAGCAGTCTGTCATCGCCGTGTTGCTTCTGCGCAGTAGTTCCAGTAGCAGTGGCGGCTGCTGGGGTAGAAGAGGACAAAGGTTTCTTCGCTTTTTGAGCGTAAGAGGTCCTATTTGTGGTGGGGACTGCTTTGGGGGCAGAAGCAGCTTTCCTCGGGGCCTTACTACATCCCTTGTAGTTGGCGGGGTGGCCTTCTCCACAAAGGCAACACTTGGCGTTTCGTTGCCCTGTTGGCGGCGCTGGCAGACTGCAGCTGGTGCTGCTGTGGTCCTCTCCACACTTAACGCACCGTTCAGCGAGACGGCAGTTCCGCTGTGTTTGCCCGTACCTCTGGCAGCGGTAACATTGGCTGGGCTCGGTGGACTTTTTCTTCCTCTCGAAGCTGACCGTGAGCATGGCCAGCCTCTGGATCTCTAGAAGCTTTTCCGGCATCTTCGTCATGACGAGGAAGAGCGGAAGTGGCTTCTTGGTGGTCCTTGAGGTCATCTGCTGAACCTCAGCGTCTGCGATGCCTTGACTCACTAGACCCTCTTTGACGTCATCGATTGACATCTCCCTGGGTAGTCCACGAATGACCCTCTGGTCCATCCTGTCCTCCTTCAGTTGATAGGTAAAGAAGGGCCGCTTGATGGAGTCCAGCAGTGCGACTAGCTGACGGTAATCAGCTGGAGTATTTGTGAACACTTTCACACTGTTACCCGCCGTCCTCGCCTTGGAGAATTGGATCCCCTTGTTGTTCATCATACTGCTTAAGGATGAACAGTCAGCGGTGCCCTCGATATTGATTGGCGGAACTCCTGTTCCTGCCATGGGGGCCTCGGTGGTCCTGGTTGCTCTAGGACCTCTCTTCTTGGTGGCAGCTGGCATCTTTGGCTGCCTGGATGGTTCTTCTTCTTCGGAGGAGGAGGAAACTCTCACTCGTTTTCTCCTCCTGGTGACGACACTGAAGTCTGCGTCTTCGGTCCTCTTCTCGGCTTCTTCTTCGATCTCTTGGGCATCCATGTCCCTGTTTTCCGTAGGCTGCTGGTCCTCGTCTCCCTGGTCCTCACCTTCTTCTTCTTCTACCGTCTTCTTCGCTTTGAGGAGCTTCCCCCTCACTTCCTCTATTTCTTGCCTCGCCTGCTTGAATGCTTCTTGCAGATTTTTCATCTGTTCAGCAAGCATTGCGAAATTATCCTCCTTCTGCTTCAGCTGGCTCGTCAGTTTTTCTATTCTCGCCATCGTGGATGGCGATCGTATCGTGATGAAAATCACAATAAGATCGCACTGTAAGTCCGGGTGGATCGCAGTCGCACAAGTGTATACTCGCGACGGCTGCTAGCTCGGAACGATGCGATCATGTACGCGGGATTAGTGTGTTTCTCTCCCTACTGTTCTGGTTGTGGGGTATAGCGGGGTTATCGCAATTTTAGTTGGAAAAGACCCACACTTCTGGAGTGCGCCATTGTCCGTTGCGCGTGCATTTTATGCAGTAATTGGAGGTGTGTTCGAACTTTTATGTTCGTAGCAGTATTTTAATGAGATATTGAGTTAAAATGAATGGTTTCACTGTGAAATATTTGAAACATAACTTCAGGTCATTGAGTTTGGAGCAAAAATTTGAAATGAAAAATGCGGGAAGACCTACACCAGAAATTAACTTAACTCAGACCACAAAGGTAAATCTAGAGACTTCATTAGAAAGTTTAAAATGGAAATCTATGAAAATAATAACTGGATTTGTGGATGCAGCACAACAAACCGTTTGTTTTGTTTTTCCTGTTTGTTGTTTGGTCGCGGGGTTGCAGAGCCTGCCTGGACAAAAAATGGATTAGCCGACTTGGGACATTTAGTACAAAAAATTAAGAAACATGAAAACACTCAAGTCCATACCAATGCGCACGTGGAAATGCAGCTTTTGGGAAAAGTAGATATACGGCAGCAGTTGGTCAGTGCATATAGGCGCAGTATTCAACAGCAAAATGAAAAAGTTAGAAAGAATAGGTATGTACTTTCAAAAATTATTGATTGCATAAAATTTTGCGGAGCTTTTTAAGTAGCCCTCCGAGGTCACGACGAAAAAGATGGTTCATCAAATCCTGGTATTTTTAGAGGTTTCATAAATTTCACTGCCGAATTAGATATAGCACTTAAAGATCATTTTGAAAAATCTACAGTATTCAAAGGGATATCAAAAATCATGCAAAACGAATTGTTAGATTTCATGTTACAAGTGGCTCAGGAAAATATAAGAAAAGAAATTTTGGAAGCTGAATTTGTTGCTGTTATGGCTGACGAAATAACGGATGTAGCTAATTGTTATCAAATGACTACAGTATTTAGGTACATTATACCAGATGGAAGGCAAGTTGAACGTGTTTGGAATTTTGTTACCCCTCCCCCCCCCCCTGACCACGATGCAGTTAGTCTCTCAGAATGTGTGAAAACTAATTTAATACAAGTGCTAGATAAACCAGAGAAACTGCTAGCTCAAAGTTATGACGGCGCTAGTGTAATGAGTGGACGTCATGGAGGTCTTCAAGCTCTTATTCAACGTGATTATATTTATGCTTATTTCGTTCATTGTTGCCCACCAGCTAAATTTTATTTTATCGCAAGCTACAAGTCAAAATCAAGAAGTACGGGTATTTTTTCAAATTTAAGCGATATTTCAACTTTTTTTCTCATTCTCCACAACGAGTTGCAGTTTTGGATGAAATTGTTGGTGCAAGAGTTCCTAGGTCTTCTGTTGCAAGATGGAATTTTAAAAGCAGATCTATAAATACAGTATATGAATATCGCGAATTGTTAATAGAATGCATGGAAAAAATAGAAGCTACTTCAAAACAATCTGTTACCATCAATCAAGCCACTGGTATTGGCCGTATGCTACAAGATTCTAATTTAATTGGAATTAATTTACCGGCGACCTGATTTCAGAAATATGAGTGGTGCCATTAGTTTGTTACAGTTTTTCGTAGAAAATAATCTTCAGAGCATATTTTTGCCACCTTTACACTTTTACAAATAATTGTTACCATACCAATGACTACGGCCGAAAGTGAAAGATGCTTTTCGACATTGAAAAGAATAAAAACATTTTTGCGAAGTTCTATGAATGAAGAAAGACTGTCAGCCCTAGCAATGCTATCTATCGAGAAAAAATGTATAGCGGGTATTCCAAACTTTAACGAGGCTGTTATTGATAAATTTTCTGCAAATACAAACGAATGGACTTTACGTTTAAACACTGTACTCATCAAAAAACTTGTATTTTTTTATAAATGTATTTTCTTGTGTATAATAGAAAAAATAACAAAAAATGTGTCCTTTCATTTCATACCACTTGTGAACCCCCTGTATCATAGACCACGAGCCGCCGCTGATCAGAACGCGTCACCTCTCCCCGATACCTAACTCGGGCAGAGTATAGAAAATACTACGCTGTTGTGCGGCAGACATACGCGTTATTCGATAACAGAACAGTTATCACGGTCGGCGAACGACGCCAACAGCAGTCGCGAAAGATAGGTACGCGATCCGTCCCCTGAGAATATTTTTTCAGGGCTAATCTATAGAGAAATCTATGATGTGTGAAATATGTCTAATAGGTGCGTAGTTGGGAGCGTATAAAAGTACCATTTTTTTCAAAATTAATCAGGGTCCTCTGAAACCCCAAAAAATTAAGTTTGAGCGATTTTAATTTATGTAGTTTTAGGCCTCTTTCTTTGCCACCACTGAACGGATTCTGAAGAAAACTACAAAGCTTTTGCGTCCTTGGCATAGAAGTGACATGGTGTAATTGCATCAAAATCCGAGAGGCATTTCTCAAGTTATAGGCGGTTATAAGATTAGCGGACAGACCGACATGGTTTTTCATGTTGTACATATCATATTACATTCAAAAAAACAATATTTTCGAAATTTTTCGCGATTACAATACTACCTCACCAGTAGGTGTGGGAAGTAAAAAGCTCTTCGAAATAAAAAGTGATTAAATTGTCTCAGGACTTTTATGATACATACACCTGGCCTATTTTCAAATATATCGTACATGCAAACTGAAAATTAAAAATTATTTTTATATACATATAAGTCAAACATGAGTCTTGCTGAAGATTAAAGTTTTTGTACGACCCAGGGTCGTAGCAACCGCCATATCAGCCACATCAATGACACGGGGGCCCCGGATTAAAGGGACCCGACTGAGTAAGAAGAAATTCGTAAAGTATCATCCACCAACTCCAGCAATTTTTTAAGCGGCACGCCATACTATAAATTATCAATAACTGAAGCCTTAGATCAGGGTTTCATAACCTTTTTTTGTTGAGGCTCTTCGGACTATAAATTATATGTTCATGCCCCCCTTTACTTTTTCAATAAATACAAAAAAAGACGCACATTATATAGGTACAAAGACTTTTATTTTAATTCTAATAAAGAAACTTTAAAAGTTTAAATAAACTAATAAATGTTTTTTAGCAAAAAATTACAATAAAATAATACTAATACTAATGAGACACTTGAGATTGCATGTTCTGTACCAGTTGGTTGAGTGTAGGTTCTGTTTTCGGCACAGCTATCTTCAGGTCGCTATCGACATTAAGACGATTTCGCTGTTTAGTATTAATTAAAACTAGAGCAGAAAAGCCTGTCTCGCGTAAGTAAGTTGAAGAAAAAGAAACTAGTATTCGTAAAACAAGAGAGGCAAGTGTCGAATTAACAGCCAATCTTTTGATCCAAAATTTCTCCAATGTTAAAAGATGGAAGTCATCTTTCATGGACGAATCAGCCTTTATTTCTAGAAATTCTTCCTGAACTTCTGGTAATTGTGACACATCGACAACAAATGGATTTCTTGCCATGTGCCATATTGGTGACTCTGAATTGATGTCTCGATAGTTGCGGCGAAAGTCGTCTTCCAGCGCTTGCAAATGAGTTTTTATGTCAGCTTTTAAATTTGCGTCCAGTATGTTATTTTTAATTGCTTCGAACAGCCTAGAAGAAGATATAACATTTTCAGAAGACACTTTTTGATTCCAAAGTTGAAGCTTGGATATGAACCTCTGAATATAATCATAATTGCTTATTATATTGTTGTTTCTGCCCTGAAGTTTCAAGTTTAGCTCATTCAAGGACTCAAATATGTCAGTTAAATAAGCCAACCTCCATTCAAATGTGTCATCTTTGAACATTGTCAAAAAATCGTGTTTTTCTTTGAACTCAAGAAATATAATTACCTCTTCTTTCAATTCATAAAGGCGAGCCAACATGTTGACTTTGGACAGCCAGCGTACTTCTGTATGGAACAGAAGAGCTTTGTGATCAGAATCGAGATCCTCGCAAAGTAAAGTAAATAACTGTTCAAAGCGCTGCTCTTGATGTAGATTACAATCCTTATAGCCGAGTCCATCGTCTGGCGTAATTCTGTGGCAATGTTTTGGAAGCCAAAGCTTACCGATGAATAACACAATGTGTACTAACCATTGCGGGTTTTTTCTTCCTTAAGTTTTTAGCTAAGCCCGATCGTACACCTATCATTGCAGGTGCGCCATCTGTGCAAAGTGTAGTGAGTTTCTTCCAATCCAAATCATGTTTTTTCAACAAAATTTGATATCGAATTAAATATATCTTCAGGTGTAGTACCTGCTGTCCACGATTGGGAGTACCAAATCTCTTCTTGAATGATATCTCCGCCGATGTAACGAACATAAACTATTAATTGTGCACAATTAACGATGTCGGTGGATTCATCGCAACTAATGGCAAAAATGGCGATAATTTTACTTTGTTAATTATTTGTGACTTTATGTCTGCTGCAATATCATCAA